ACTATTCCAACAACTTGTTAAGTTCTAGCAAAACCATGTTAAAAGATGAAAAATTTACGAACTTTTTGAATTACAATGTAACCTAGATTAACATACCTAATCTCAACAAAACCATGTTGATTACATAGTCGTACTTAATTATTATATGACTTAAATATAATTTGTTTGGAGAAGTGTTGTATAACTGCAGAAAAAAATTACAAAAATTTTGGAATCTGAAATGTATAGATTAAAAATTTTCATATTTGGTTCATACCGTTTTATCTCGTTATATAGAGATCACATGTCGAACAAAAATGACATAATGTCATGTGTCCGATTATGTTAATCCATTTTGTCGTGAATTTCTTAATTTGATTTAGTAAATAAAGTTGCATGTTTAGTTTCATGAAAGGGAAACATTAATGTGCCTTCAAGATTGTGTATGTTGAGCCTCATTCTTGTCTTCTCTGACATTGTTCAAAGCTGAGACCTTCAATGACTGTCAATCACTCTTCTACTCATATTCTACCACCTTAATCCAATGCTTGAAAACTTTCTCTATGGTCCTACTTTATCTCATTCTGATTCCCCGAAACTAGACTACCTTCTTCAAATTTTATAGCAAATATTCAAGTTTCAGAATGGTGGATTCAATTGGAAAAGTTAGTTATAAATCTTTTTTTCTTCTGATTTATAGTTGGGGTTTTTCACTGATAGAGATTATTTTGCAGGATATAAGCCTAGAACTGAACCCTAATACTCCTTTTCTAGGGAACAGCCCAACCAACAATCATGAGCAAAATAAAACTTGTGTTGTGCAGTCATCATACAATGCGTGCAATAAGATCAAAAGCAAGAAGAAAGAGAGAAATGTCAGGGATAAGCAGAGGTTCGGAAAAAGGGGAAGAGTTGAGGTGATGGAAAGTTTTTTTTTTTTTTTTTTTTTTTTTTTTTAATTGGTGTAATACACCATTCTATTGAGGCATTCGCATTGTTTATCACCAACCCTAGGACAACCTCTCGATAATTTGTCAATGAAAAAAAAAATTCAAAATATAAAACCTAAATGTTTTTGAAAATTATAACACATGTTTTCCTTTTACTAACCAAAACACACTAATTTATTTATGAGGTGTTCGATAACGGTGTCAGGTGATATTAGATAATGGTGGTCAGTAGAAGATTAAGTTTTGATTTTATCTAACTTTAATATATTTAATTTGAGATTAAAAGATTATTTAGTACTATACAGTATAATGGTATAATGATTGAGTTCTTTAGTCCGTAGGAAGACCATTCCTAATCTTAAATAATATTTTTAAGCAAAATACGACTTACATGTCTTAAAAAATTACAATTATTAATTGATCGTAAAATATATCTCAAACTAAGAAAAATTATCAAGAGTAATCTATTTATAATCAAACAAATGCGACAATTAATTATCAAACCACAATAATTAGAAATTGTGTTAGCGAGAAAACCTATAAATATACATGCAAACCTCTTATGAAAACTAAAATACATATTGAAAGCTTTGGTATTGAATTCTTCAAATTTCTCCTAAGACATTCTTTTTTTGCTGTAACATTTTGGATCTCATTGTGTGATCTTAACTGATTTCTTTATCTAATTTTAATGGATTCTCACTGTGATTTTAAGTATTCTCTCTATGCAATCTTGATTGATCTGGTATGCGATTTTAATTGATCATTTATACGATCTTAATTGATCTTTTATATGATCTTATTGATCCTTCGTTATGATTTTAACTAATCTTTCATTGCGGTCTTAATTGATTTGTAATGTAATCTTAATTAATCCCCTACGTAATCTTAATTTGTTTCTTACAGACATGATTTTAACTAATCTCTTTTGTGATGTTAATTAATCCATCGTGATCTTAACAGCTCCTTCAATATTAGGATATTGGTGGTCACTGTGGGATAGACTCCCATTTCGCGTGTAGTGTTAGGATATTTGTAGTTGATATGGAATCAATTACGAGTTAACTTAATTACAGATATGGTGCGGTCTTTTAGATTCTATGAATGGCTACTGCTTTCGGCAAAAGATTAAAGCTGCATGCAACCTAGCCGAAACTCCGACAAATTGTCAAACATTTGCACTTAATTGACATAAGATTTCTGGAACAAAAAGAAAAACATTTGTTTGGTAAACAAGCTACTTGAAACATTGGATGCAATCATATATCATCAATAATTTTTTCTTTTGGCAAATATATTGCGATTTTTTTTATCACATACTAAATCATAAAAGGAAAATCATTATAACATTTAAGGAAAAATCTTATTCTAAGTAAAAGTAAAATTATAAAACAAAATAAAAGACTCACAGCCTATTATATATTTTTAAGTTTTAAATTAAAGATATTATTATATTTTCTTATATGTAGGATGCATATCTCATTCGTAATCATTTTTCAATGTTAAATTCTGAAAATATCCAATTCGAAATATGTTAAATTTTTTTTCATATCTGATCCGTAATAATTTTTCAATGTTAATCTCAGAAAATATCCAATCGGAATATGTTAAATTTTTTCAGTGATTTAAAAGTATGAACTGGAATATAAGAGCAAACAAGCATCCATTAAATTTGTTCAATGATGTTGACGAGGATGGTTTAGTCATAATTATAGTAAAACGAAAAGAATTTAAGCAAAAGAAAGGAGAGAGTGCAAGAAAGGAATTTAAGTGAACACAGGAGAGATCCTTTTTGACTGTCTTTGCTTGTCTTCCTCCACCGAGAAGAATTAATTTAGAGGAATATCATGTGAGTGCTAATTAAGGTAGTTTAGAATGGGGTATTCCCAAACAAAATTTTGAAGGCTAATGAGTCAAAGGGGGGAATTTTTCTGCTTGATTTCTTTTTATTAAAAACACTTTTGGTTGGTAAAGTTGGAATTGGGTTGCACAAAATATTGGTGTAGGTGTTCATCTTCATTGGAACTTAAACTAAAGGTCAAAACCTTGTCAGTCAGCGAATAAATACATCTTAATCCCCATCAACTGCCAAAAGTAATTTCACTCTCCAACGCTCTGTTTTTAATAAGAAATTTGAATGGAATTTTAACAGGAAACGTTGTTTATTGTCCTGGAATGGAATACATCTTAGCATTTTTAATTGGAACAACTCATATTATATTGAGATGAAATAGTGCTAGTTTCTTTTAGCAAAAACATATTTCTGTGACTGTCCTTCAACTTTGAAACCATTGATTCATAAGTTGCTACAAGTTTCAACATATCCATAATGATTATGGAATTCTGACGGATTTCCCTACTTGTCTGTTGAAGCTTTGACTATTTTATGCTTCATCAATGTGATGCTGGCCACACTATCTTTGGGGTCCAGTTTGATGGAACCCATCAATCACTTGCTCATATAATATATAATATCCTTGTAAATATAACTAAAAATTGAATGACTAGTTATAAGTTTTCACCGACCAAGAGAACCTGAAGATACGAGTTTCAAGAAAACATTGGCAGAACCATATATATCACTCGAAAATCGATTGATATAAAAACTTACAAAACCCTCACAGAAGCATGAAACGAAAGATTGGCTTACAAATTTTCATCCATTACCCTACACCTTAAAGAGTAGCTATGGTTTAGGAGTTTTCTACTTCTATTTCTCCACTTGTTCATCTATCAATATTGGATGGATAACCACAACAAATTGAAATTTGTATCCACGTATAAATGAAACATGAATTATACAACCTACAGTAAAAGTGTAAAACCAATTGATTTTCGGTCTTTTGTTTTGAAATTCTGATTTGATGTTAGAATAGTTTTACAGGTATCTCTATCAGAACAAATTACAAAAGTCAATGATAATGGAGGAGTCTCTTCCACCCACGTAAAGATTTAGATAAGAAGATGAAGTAATCTGTAAAAGTTAGGAACTTGTGCGTGGCCAGTCAATTTTTCTCATTAATGTGTGAATTCACAAGAAGTCAGAAATTTTACATTTTCCTCATTATTTTTGCGTATGTATTTTCTTCGATGGTGCCCACCAAGAGAAGAATCATGCAGAAAATGGGAATAGCCTTACTCTTCTTACGGAAATATTAGATTAGACAGCTCCTGAGTTATACAAGAAGATGCAGATGTCTATAATTTAATCTAGCTTACTACTTGCAATTTTCCACCAAAATTAAAAAATACTCACTTGGAATTTATTGGTAAGATGTGTCATCATCAAATTTACATAAAGTTTCCAAGTCATTCGGAAATGACATACTGGGTTCATTTTAGCTTAAAAGTAAAATGATTATTTTTAAGAAGACTTTAACTTTTTCATAATAAATTATTATTAAAATCAATAAATATCTAAATTAATCTTAATTTATCCTATAAACCATGCAAATAACATAAAAATTATATTTATTTATATATTATAATAAATACTATATAATGTTATCTTTATTTATACGGTGGATATAGAATTTCGAGATTTTTGTCAAATTATAGGTCTTTTTCATCTTAACCGTTGAGGGACCAATTGTTAAGTCCGTCTCATAGCATCCAAGTTGAGAGAGATAAATTGAACAAGTATGATCGTCCCCTATTAGGATGTACTATTAAACCTAAATTAGGGTTATCCGTTAAGAATTATGGTAGAGCAGTTTATGAATGTCTTCGTGAGGGACTTCATTTTACCAAAGATAATGAAAATGTGAATTCCCAACCATTTATGCGTTGGAGAGACCGTTTCTTATTTTGTGCCGAAGTGATTTATAAAGCACAGGCTGAAACAGGTGAGATCAAAGGACATTACTTGAATGCAAGTGTGGGTAGATGCGAAGAAATGATAAAAAGAGTTGTATTTGCCAGAGAATTAGGCGTTCCTATCGTAATGTATGATTATTTAACAGGGGATTCACTGCAAATACTAGCTTGGCTCATTATTGCCGGAATAATAGTCTACTCCTTCATATACATCGTGCAATGCATGCAGTTATCGACAGACAAAAGAATCATGATATGCACTTTCGTGTACTAGCTAAAGCATTACGTTTGTTTGGTGGAGATCATGTTCACTCCGATACCGTAGTAGGTAAACTTGAAGGGGAAAGAGAAATCACTTTAGGTTTTGTTGATTTACTGCATGATGATTTTATTGAAAAATATTGAAGTCGCGATATTTATTTCACTTAGGATTGAGTTTCTCTACCAGGTGTTCTGCCTGTTGTTTCGGGAGGTATTCATGTTTGACATATGCCTGCTCTGACCAAAATCTTTAGAGATGATTCCGTACTTCAATTTGGTGGAGGAACTTTAGGACACCATTGGGGAAATGCACCTGTAGCTAATCGAGTAGCTCTTAAAGCATGTGTGCATCCTCGAAATGAAGAACGTGATCTTGCTCGTGAAGGTAATGAAATTATCCGTGAGTCTAGTAAATGGAGTGCTGAATTAGCTGCTACTTGCCAAGTATGGAAGGAGATCAAATTTGAATTCCAAACAATGATACTTTGGATTAATTGCAAATGTTAGGTCACGCTTGCATGTTGAGTCCAATAGTGTTGCAGGGCACAAAGTTGGGTTTGTATTTGGAAGCTTACGTTCAAGGTGGTTTCTTCATTTTGGGCCGAAAACTCCAAGCCACATATTTTTTGTGGGCCACAGGTACTTTCTCTGTTCATAACGATTTCTAAATTCATGGATGGAATAATGTTAATTTCCATTCATTTTGGTGGAATAATTTTGAACAATGAATATCAAGAAAAAATTTGTATTATGAACTACCTAACAATGAATATCATCAAATCTTGATTGAAAAATAAGAGAAAATGTTAATTTTAAATTTAAGGTTTGAAGACAGAATTTAAAATAAAAGAATTTTTACTTGACTAGATAAAACTATATATACATTAAGAAATAAGAAGGAAGAAAACTTACAAGTAAAAATTGGACAAAGACATTATACTATAAGTTCCAGAGTTTTTTTTTTTTTTATGACTTTAGCTATGCAATATTAATATTTAAATTGATGAAGAAAATAATAAAAATAACATAACAAACATATGTTTGAATGTTTAGAACTGAAAAAATATATTAGAAGTTAATTATAATTGCATCGTACCTAATTAACAAGTTCAAGGAAAAAATTATCATACTGCTATACAAATAGTTATGTTCTGTGGTAGTAAATTTGGGCATTATAGTTAGAGACATAATAAGAAAAAGTGATAGTAAAAAAAATGAGAATGTTAAATTAAATGAGCACATAAGAAATGACAAAATAAAAAAGGTTTAAAAATGTGCGAATGATAAAAAAAATGTATTGTTTTTAATATTATTAGAAATAACTTTTGATTTATAATATATTTGAAAGTTTAGTTTTTATTTTTAACTAGTAATATTTTAAAAAGCAGTTCAATTGATTGAAATGAAATTAAATTAAAAAATAAATTATTATTTTTAAATAATAAGATTTTAATTAACCAGATAAAATTAGAAAATCAAGATAAAATTAGTAAAATCGACAAAATCGAATTGATTTTTTAATCGAAACGGTTTTAATAATATATATATATATATATATATATATATATATATATATTTAGATCAAATTTTTTAATATTATTTTTTATAAAAAAATATAATATAATATATTTTTATTTTTTATATTATATTAATTACCTAATTTTAAATAATAATTATTTTATTATATTTTTATCTTATTTTAAGAATTATTTATTTTTACTTTTTAATTTATTTTATATTTATAAATTTTATTATAACTTATAAAAATAAACTTTATTATTTTTCTATATAAAAGATACTATTATTAATAAATTTATTATATATTTATATAAATATTATTTTATTAAATATAATTAAAACCAAGTTAAACTTTTAAAATCCGAAATCGTCCCATTCGGGCTTTAAAAACATGTACTAAAAGCAATAGAATTGTATGGTATGTATAACTAATCACACCTAATAAAATAAATTGCAATTATTGTTGTTGAATTGGATGTGGTTTCTCTATTTTTTAAAAATTAATTTGCATGGCTTTTAAATCGCCCACCATTTAACATATTTATTAAATGAGTAATCAGGTTATTAAATCATTTTAATTATACAAAAAGTGGACCTTTATTGGATTAAGTAATAAACTTTAAATTATTTTGTAAAAACAATTTTTAAAAACTATTTTATTTTGTAATTTTTAAAAACTAAAAGAAATATAATTTGATAAAATGTATTTTTTAATTTTAATTTTCTATTTTCATTAATGAATATCAACATTTTTACCAATAAATACATTAAATCACTATCATGAAATAATAAAAAAAATCCATCATCATGTGTCATTCTCTTTCATTTAAAATATTTTCTAAAAATAAATTATCAAATAAGATTTTTTTATTGTTTTTAAAAATATTTTCTCAAAATTAATCTCTGCTTTTAAAATAATAAAAACCCAAACTAAATCAAACAATCCCTACTACCACTCTTGTTCAATATTGGATAGCACTCTGGGTTTCCTACTAAAATTCTTAAAATAATAAGTGTCGTAAGGAATTAAATAAAATGAATAGAGTCCCAAACTCTTGGATGACGAATATGAGTACCTAGATTTTATTTTTTTCTTATCGATAAAATAAATGTTTCAACTTTAAAAACACAATATTGAATTACAATGAGTTTTTCTTACATAATCAGGGTAAATAAGTTGGAGTCATAAAAAAAATGAAAATTATGAATCTAAAACAATATATTTGTCACGTGGATTCATTTATTATATATTTGTCTAGCACATAATTATTTGCGTTCCGTCAAGTTTGACCTTTGAGTATGTAACTACATTAAATATCTGTAAAGAAATTTTTGCTATTTATTGTAAATTTACTTCACTTAAGCAAAAATTTTTGATGGATCTTTAGCAATTACATTCTCTAATTATGTTAACGTTCTAAAATGAATACCAATTGATGTAGTATAATCGGGTATTTTAATTATATTTAGAACTTTGAATTAGTACTAAATAAGCAGATTATTCAATTTTAATCCGTTTTAGATGAACTAGTGACAAGACAAATTAAAATAAATCGAATTAACCTAACAATTGAACCTGAATTTAAATTAACTATTGAAGAATTTTTCTCACACCCAGATTTTAAACGTAAAAATTAAGAATTCTAATCAATGGATTTGTTTTATTAGAAATATAAATACCGATGTGCTGTTAATGTATCTTAAAAATTTTGAATTTTTTAATTAGTACTTGTGATATTATTAGAATTTATATCAATTACTTAAAATTTGAAACATTAAATAAAAATTTAATAATACTAAAATAAAATAAAAAATGATGAATATACACGAGATTATTTTTATTATACTCCTTGTCTCTATGGCAACGGGCAGGGCGGGACGAGTTTTGCCTCCCCGATCCCCGTCCCCGACTTTTTTAACCATCTTGTCCCCCAATCCCTGCCAGGGTTAGAAATTAAGTCCCCATTCTCGTCCCCGATTTATATTATTTTTAAAAAGATAATTACATTTATAATAAATTAATTTTACTATCTATTTTTTATATATAAATAAATATTTATAATTTATAATTATGATTAATTAAATATACATTTTAATTTATTATATTTATATTAAAATATGCATGTAAAATAAATATTTAATCATTTTTTATTTATAATATTATTATTATTATAATACTGTATTCAAATATTTGAATATTTATAACACTATTATTATAATATTGTATTCAAACATTTGATTATATATATAAGTTAATTCATTTTTAAAATGTCATTTAAAAATATGAAATATATAGTTTATAAGGAAATATTTAATAAGTTAATTCTTATTCAATTAGTTCGAAGTAATAAAAATTTAAATTATCAATTCATTTAATAATTTAAAATATAATTATTTTATTAAGATAAAATTTGATATATGATAAATAAGAATAATAAGATAAAAAAATATGACATAATAAAACCTAATAAATATAAATTATAAATAAAATAATATTAGTTACTACTAAGATTTATGTAAAATATTTAGAAAAAGATAAAGAATAAAAAAAAGTTAACTTTGTGTTCATCAAATTGGTTGAAAAGATTGAAAAAAAAACAAATTGATGTGAGAGATTAAGGAGATGTGAAAAAGCTGAAAGGTAAGAGAAAGAATAATATAATAAATTAATTGATATAAAAGATTAAAAAAGACAAAAAAATTAAAAAGTGGTTAGAAGAAAAAAATTTGGTGAAATATAAAAAAATGACCTTATATGTAATAGAAAAAGAAAAGGAAATACTTTTAAAATAATAATATTTTAAAATTTAAATTTAAATATAAAGTCGGGCAGGGACAGGGCGGGGTGGGATTGCATTACCCGTCCCCGCCCCGCCCCGCCTCGACTTTTTAAAACGGAGAAAACCCAAACATGTTCCCGTTCCCGATCAACTCGAGTTTTCCCCGTAAAACTCAGGACCGAGACGGGTTTAATTAGCATCCAGCTATCAAAACATTCTTTTATGTTCAATGAATTAAATCCTTAACGTTGAGTTAGAAGGAGGGGGAAAACAATGCAATAGGTTGAATAGTTGAAGAAAAATCTTGTAAGTTTGCTTTCGAATAGTCTAGTGAAAGGGACAAAAAGCAGAACCTCAACAATGCTACACTTTTCTTCCTGTCAAAGCCTATCCTATAAGCAGCATACCAAAAGCAGTGACAAAGTCACGAATTTTCTTATTCCAAACCCCCCAACACTCACTAGTCCTTTCTTGTAGGCGCTAGCTAGGAAGCTTCTGAGTCACAAATGAAATGAAATAATCACATAATTACGATAACCATTACATCGTTCCACCAATCTATGGAAAGAAAAATAAATCAGTGAATGAAGGTAAACACGGGGTTTGGTATGAGCTGCACCGGGACATGCTTTTCCAAAGGGAGAGGGGTAAAGAATTCATCATGCACGTGTCAAAAGCTTGATGGGGTTGGCGTCGTAGCAACTTGGCTCTGTCAAAGCTTTGTATCTGCCTTTTTCGCTTCCTTAGAATGCTGCTCTTGTTTCCAACTTCACACAACAGATGGTCCCGATGGCGGTTCCACTTCTGCAACATCTCTCATTCTCAACGCCGAAAAGGATGACTCTGCTACTTCACATCTCTTGAACCATACTTGAACTCTGCACATATTCAATTGAGTACACGTGTAGTTATTTGTTATCCAACTGGATATTGATGCATGTATACATTGTATCCTTAGCTTGTTCCTTTAATATGAAAAGTACTGTACAGTATTGCCATGATTTAAAAGATAAAGCATAATCTTAGTTATTAAGGTGTGGTGTGATTATATGTATATATGCACGAAAATGGAAGAGATTATATATGTTCAACTTGTTATTACTGGATTGTTTTATATTGCATGTTGTTATTATGTAGTGTAACTACGTTTTTATGACTGTTATCAAAGGTAAACTAAACATTTCTCTCATGGAAGCAACTCTGCATCTAGAAAAACGAATTGAACCAAAAGAAAAACACAAACTCCAGAAACTAAAAAGGAATAGGTCCGTTTAAAGTTAACGGGGAATACCAGCTGGCAGGAATCTCCAAGACTTTTATATCTGAGTTTTTCGGTAAATGGTGACAAGCAAGGAACCAAAAAGATGGCACGATGCGTAGTTAAGAACAAATTCTTTTTTTTTTTCTAATTTCTTGCTGTATGATGACGAATTCGTAAGAGTACATGTAATAACAATTAAGCCTTTCGGCCGACGTAAGTAAAGCAAATTCTTAAAGTTATTCAAAGAAAATTCCATGTTTTGTTTCATGTATTTTAATCATTTCACACCTGATCAAACAACTTAAAGCATATTCTTTAAATAAATCTCAATACTTCAAAAAAGAAAAAAAAAATCGTTTTGGAAGAGTGATATTCCAGTTATATATATATATATTAAAAAAAATGTTCAGAAGGTATCATATGAAGTCATTCGATTCAAAGTAGTGTTTTTTTAAATGATAATAATGGAATAGTTGTTCTTTTTATTTTATCATTTCCAGCATAAAAGAAATGAACACGTAATTGGAAATTTTTTCACTCTAATTAAAGCCAAAATTTTCTCCAAAAGCTACTCTAAATAGTCTTGCCTACAGGGTTAAATTTTGATCTATATTAGAGTGATAATCTTAACCAATATCAATGTACGAGTTAGTGTCTACAATGCCACATAAGATTCTAACAATTACATAAACATCCCCATCCACTTCACTTATAGCTTCTTGTTAACTGGAGTACAGATTGAGGTGAATTTTGATTCAGATTAACTAGGCTGAAATAAAACGTCTATGATAACTAAATGGAGAATTAAAATTTACTTAAAAAACGAACAAAAAAAAAATCAATATTCCAAATTCATTTTCTATCTTCACTATTAACTCATTCAGTTGAATTTTTGGGAATGTAATTATAAATTTTTAAATAAAAATAACATTAGAATTATCTAAATTTATGGTTTCTATGTATAATAAACTGACAAGGCAAAGTGATAGTATTCATGTGATAATATGATTTTTTTTTTTTAAAGAAGAGAATGTTGGAATTGCAAAAAGTAAATAATTAGTATTTTTTTTTCAATAATTCAACAAAAAAAATTAATACTACTATAAATATAAATTAACAAAAGAGAAACAAGATTGAGATGTGAGATATTTTTTATTAATGAAAGAGTGATTGACATTTCTTGGTAATCTAATAATTACTTAGGGGAGTTTTTTCAATTCTGTTTATAAAATTTACAATTTTATTTAAAATAACTAGTATTTATTGAGATATTTTGGTAAATTAATATAAAAGGAGTGTGGAATCATGCTAGATATTTTTCAAGCATTGAGATCTCTTTTAGTAAAATTTCATTAAATTTGACTTCTCTGTTGAAATTATAATTTTGAGTATCATATTATATTATATTAATTAGAGTCACTTTATTTTTTCTCTAAAATAAAATCTCAATTCATCACTTTCATTTAATCATAACCATTGATTTCTAGAATAATAGGAATAGTATCATAATTCTAATAAAGAAACTAGACTTGAATTCACAAAATTGCAAGACATTAATCTCGTTGACTGTACTCAACTCCTTAAAATATATAATCATCCAAGTGTGTAATAAAATAGACGAAGGAATACAAATCAAATTAAAGATATCATTTCTGGGTAATATTTTATTCTTGAAATCTTTATAAATTTTTGTTCAAGTTATGAAAAAAAAAGATGAAATACATTAGTTGTTGTTTATAACGTGTTTTAATCATCTCTGGTGGCTATACAGTGCAGTCAAAAGAGAGAAACACATGGTCCAAATAGGACCACATGTCGAGATAATTCACCTTATTAGAAACTTTAAAGGGTTTATCAAGAAAAAAAAAAAAAATGCATGAGAGGATAATTTCTGGATTCAAGTAATCCAAATATGTTAATGATTTGTGACAAATAAGCAAAGAAAATTCAAAGTAGGCTTAATGGCAGACACCACTTTGGAGGGCGTCGTTAAGTTCCTTCTTTCCTTTGAATAAGAATGTTTCCTTTTTTGTCTACCTCGTGCCTGGTTAGTTCCTCCTGCTATGAAACTAGCGGCAACCACATGACCTTGGAATACCTGGCTATAAGTGGTTGAAGAGACAACATGTATCCAGCGGAGACAAACTTTCAAACCAGGAATTTAACTGAATCTTCAAACAAGCATAAATTCTTCACACCAAAGTCGAAGCAAGACTTCTTCTTTTCTTTTTTTTTTTTTTTTTTTTTTTTAAAAAGCAAGAAAGAGAGATCTTTGGAAAGCCAAATCACTAGCATAGATAAAGAGAGATCTAGTGAGATCAGAGCGAGAGATTTCCTTTCGCATGATTGAAAGCAACAATGGTTGTTGCGGGTGAAAAACTAGGTTTAACATCTCTTAAAATAAGTTTTAATTGCAAATTTTAAGAAAGAAAAATTGATTAGGTTTTTGGTAAAAATGAATTATTGACAAAATTGATGAATACTTGGTACCTAACTTAGAATTTAAAAAGCAAAAAAAAATGATTGAAAGCAACACGACATCATGTGATAAAAGATCCAGCAGAGACATACTTTTGGGTACTAGCCAAATGATAAAAAGGAGTCCCCAACAATAGTGCATTCCATTTTATCTGTTTCACCAACGTAGACACTTCACGACTCTCCTACATGAAGATGCAATGCTTTTTAGCTGCGTTGTCAGTGTGTTTTTGTGAATGTGATATCTTTGCATGGTGTAGAGAAGTTGAAGATTGTAATTCCCTGGCACCCCAATGCCCTTCGTCCAACGCATTAGGAGGGAGGGCTGTACCCACCCAAGACAATAAAGTTAACTAAAGCTAATTTCATCTTCCTCTTCTCTTTTGCTTTTTTTGCAGGCAACACAAGTATCGTGTTCCTCCTTTTCTTCCTTTTATTTTTCAACAACATTTCTTTCCTGTCATAAGTGTCACACACGTGTCAAACATTAAACCGAGTCTTCATATTGTATAATAATCTTAATTAAGTGTGGATTCTAATAGGGAAATTATCTCGACTGTAACCAACTGTTGTATTTTTCATATATATAGAAAATATAAAACAACAAAGATAAGTAATAGTATATAATTGTCTTCCGAGTTATACATGATGACAATCTGTGATGATTAAAAGACGGAAATTATCCTAATTGTTTTTATATGATTGCGCATCATATGTGATGGTTGTGGTACCAACTAATTATCTTGTTCTTTTTAGCTTCTTTGCTTTATGTCCCTCTTCCCCCCTTCACGTGGTTTGCTGTTGGTAGACTTTTTATCATAATTTTGGACAATTATTGTACCCCGACCGCCAAAATAAAGTTAGCCATATACTGTTAACGTGAGGCCAAGTCTCATGAAACTTGGTGCTAATATATTGGTTTGATGTCTTCTTTTTACTGTTCTCGGATCAATCAACAATTTTATATATACTTATTTATACACATTAATATTGTAGGGTCATGGAAATCTTGCCAAATTTGATGCTATAATTTGTAGACCCCTCTTGCAGCAAAAAACTGAAATGTGGAAGACACAGGTCATGGACCATGCTGTTTCATGGTCATGTGTATACAACTTTATCACAGTAATATACAAACATCCTTTGCTCAAGAATATTCCTCAAATTTATCAAACAATTATTAAATTCAAACTCTCAACTCCATCAAACCTTTGAGACAATATAGGTTCATTTAACTTCTTGTTGCGTTAAGTTGTGATTTTTTTCCCCTTCTTTTTAATGTGAAACTTCTTTTCTACACAATTAACTACTTGAATACCACAATTTAAATTACAAATGTTACTTGTATTAAATTAAATTCAACCTGTAGATCCGTAACTTGATTAGGGTTTTTGTACATACTGTGTTGTCTTGCAGTTATAGTTAATCAAATCGTTGTGAAACCCAAAGGTTTAGGAAGTGACAATGGTAATCTTCCCTAATCAAGATTCTTGTTGATGGCGGCATGATTTGATGGAATTATGCTATATTGTACATGTGTACCACAAAGGGAGGGATTGTTGGGCTTGTCTAAATAGTTAAGCTGAATGTTTAAACATTCAGTCTAGAACAAACATACCTATATTATTTAAACTTTAATTAGTTTAGGTCTACTTATTTGATGTTATTGTTTTAATACTAAAATATTGTAATATGTGCGTAATTAATTATTTTTTCTGTTTAACTTGAATTTAGTTAAACCATGTTTGGTTTATGCAGTTGTACTTATAATTCATGTTTGGAATTTTGTCTTTTTTGTGTGATATTTGTTTCTATAGAATAAGATAATCTACTTTTTTTTTTAATTAATATTAGTATTTAAATGATTGATTTATTTGATATTAGTTTTAAAATGTTAATATTAATTGAGAGTGTTAAAAGTTGTATCATTGATAGAGAGGGCATTGCCTTCATGGGGAAGGAGTAGAGGGCATGGAAATAGAGTAAAAGTGAGGGTTATGGTAGCATAGTAATGTCAAAAGGTAGATGCTTGAATTCAAAAAACAAGAAAACAATAGTGTTTTGTTGGTATTAGAGAGAGAACATTATATAGCAGTAGAAAGTAGGCATTCGGAAAAGCAGTAACCTTGAATAACAAGAATAATAATACATTATTAACTTTTCTGTAATTTTCATGTTTGCTTGGGTTTATTGCTTCGCATCTTTCTTCCCCAACTCCTACGACTAATATAGTAACCTAAAGATTCCCTAGGTCACAACTATGGGAGGCTTTATTTTCACGATGATTACCTACCCCAAATGCGCACCTGTGTAAATTCCATTTAAGCACCATATATACGTGCATCCAGCGCATACATGTGTGTATATGTTGTTAAAGTTATAACTTGTAACACAAACTCCATCTATCTTGTTCTCAAAATATTTCCATCTTCTAACTTCTCTCCCTAAACATTGTAGCACAAATCTCACTCTTACACTTTAATTTTTATGTTTCTCATTTACGGGTAAATTCTAAGGAGAACTACCATGATATAGGCTGCACCACTGAACCACCCAAGTTATAAGTATAAAATGCTAAATAATCTGATCGATACGTTGAAAATGGCGTATATATTTTTTTTTTGTCAACGCCACTTCGTTCTTTTATAAAATATTTCACATATTGCAGTTAGCAATATTGATTTGTTTAGCCTAGTGGAAGAAAGTGGATAAAGAAGAAGTATAAAAAAGGAAAAAAAATAAAATAAAATAAATGTGTGCGTGCGATTTGTACCACAATATTATAACACTGATTTGAGATTTGCGTCGTATCTTCATCAATTATAACCATGCTACGTGGCACTAAATGCAGTAGAGTAATTTGAAAATTTCAATATATATAAGAACAAATTTGAGCTAAATTATACCTCAATCATTTGTCTTTTAAATTATGTGTTGTAGTGGGGGAGGGTGCGTGCAATGTTGCGTAGAGGGAGGTGGGATGGAAAGACTAGGAATGAGTATGGTCCAACCCATTTTCTCATATCGATTGTGGTCTGAAATTGATTTGTAGTTTTTAAAAATAAATTTGCTACGTTATTATCAAATTTAAAATCAAGTTTTATTACTTTAAAATTTATTACACCGTCCGGTTAAATATTGCAAATACCACTACTGCAAAAAAGGCTTTTTACATCGGTTAAAATTGGCTTTCTACGTCGGTTAAAGCGGCGACATAGATACGGGGTCATAGAAAGTAACTGGTTCTGATCGATCATAACTGGTTCTGATCGGTCATAGAAAGACTTTCTACGTCGGTTAGTCAGGGAACCGACATAAAATGTTACACTTTCTACGTCGGTTATGTCATTAACCGACGTAGAAAGTACTTTCTACGTCGGGTAATGACATAACCGACGTAGAAAGTGTTATTTTTTTAAAATAACTGCATTTTCTTTACTGGATGCTACCTTTCTTCGAGTAGACTCGCCTATTCATCACGGTTCCAGCACAAATATTCACAGATCCAAGTACAGTACGGATATGCACAGTTCATATATAAATTTGCTACGGATATATATCCAGTACAGACAGATCCAGTTACAGACAGATATGTACATATGAAACATATTGAAATCAATATATGTACCTCAGTTCCAGACAGTTCATTTACTTAAATGAATGTAAATTTGCTAACTTAAATCAATTCAATTTAAATTGTTACAAGTCAAATTTACAAGTCAAAAAAGTGCATACATTATCAAGTTGGAACATTCTCCCAAAATCCTTCCATATGGTCATAACGTATGACATGCACATCATCTATTTCTACATTAACACTCAAGTTTGGCATATTTGAAGAGAAATATGGTGTCTCTGGTATATCAAGTACTAATTCATCATTTTCATCAGAAGTATACATGGGTTTTCCTTGTAGAACCACTGACCATCCTTTGTTAGTGGGATCAGTGACATAAAACACTTGTTTTGCCTGAGATGCCATGATAAATGGTTCTTCGGTATAACGAGTATTTTCAAGGTTAACCAAGGTAAATCCAAGATCGTCGGTGAAGATGCCAGTATTAAAATCAACCCACTTACATTTAAAAATAGGTACTCTGAATATCGTGTAATTTATTACCCAAATCTCTTCAATTACACCAAAGTAGCCCATTGACGCCCTTATCGGATATTTATCCTTTGAACTCGAGAAATGCATTGATTCAGCCACCACCATGACTCCACTATTTTGCATTGTGCTTATTTCATCTTCTCCCTTTGTATAAAATGAATAGTTATTTATATCATACCCACCCCAACATATCACATCAAAGTTTGGCTCACATGCTAACCACTTTAGTGTATCAGAAGCTGTATTGTCACCTTCAACTTGTTGTTTAAACCACTTCAAAAAACTCTTGTTGTGTTCAGTGATCACCCACTTTTTAGGCATACGTGGATTATTTCGCTTCACAATGTTTTTATGAGCACTTAAGTAGGGGATGACTTCTTCACTATTATTCAATATGTACAAATGCGCTTGAAGTACTTCATCTCGACACATTGTCACAACTTTTGCACCTCGAGTTCCTCTACCAAGACCTATTCCATGGTAACGAGTCTTAGGTAACCCTATAGCTTCAACTTCTGATAAGTATTGTGTGCAAAACTCAATAACTTCCTCTGCAATATATCTTTGAACAATTGATGTTTCAGGACGATATTGATTCTTCACATACCCTTTTAATATCTTCATGTATCGCTCAATAGGGTACATCCATCGTAAGAAAACTGGACCACAGATTCTAACTTCCCTGGCTAGATGAACAATCAAGTGAACCATAATATCAAAAAATGATGGAGGAAAGTACATCTCAAATTGACACAATATGACTGCAGCCTTATTCTCTAACTGATCCAAAACATCTGGGTCCATAACTTTACTACATATGACATTAAAAAAAAAGCATAATCGAGTTAAGGAATATCTAACATTCTCTGGTAAGATACCTCAAATAGCCACAGGTAGAAGTTGTTGCATCAATACATGACAATCATGAGATTTTAACCCAAGCAATTTTAGATCTTTCATAGATACAAGTCTCTTCACATTGGAAGAGTAACCAAATGGAACCTTCACACCTCGTAAAAACTCACAAAAACTTCTTTTCTCTTTTTTAGACAAGTGTGTGACATGTCGGAGGCAAGTATGTTCGGTTACCATGAGGTTGAGGAGCTAATTGTTCTCTTATACCCATTTCAACCATGTCCAAACGAGCATTGACACCATCTTTTGTTTTTCCTTGAATGTTAAGGAGCGTTCCGATGATACTGTCACACACATTTTTCTCTACATGCATGACATCTATACAATGTCTCACATCAAGAACCCTCCAATATGGAAGAACAAAAAGGATTGACATTTTCTTCCATATACCTGTGGCTTTCTTTTGCGTCTTTCCAAACTCACACGAAATCGCACTTACTCGTTGATATACTTGTTCCCCACTTAAAGGTGTTGGGGCTGCATCATTTTCTTGACACCCGTTAAATGATTTTTTTAATTTACGATATGAATGGTTTGAAGGAAGAAATCTTCGGTGTCCAAGGTACACTGTTTTCCTTCCATGTTGTAGTTGATAGTGACATGTCTCTTCTTCACATATCGGGCAAGTTTTATGTCCCTTTGTGCTGTAGCCACTCAAATTACTATATGCTGGAAAGTCATTAATTGTACAAAATAACATTGCACGCAACTTGAATAAGTCACCTGTGTACCCATCAAACACATCAACACCTTCCTCCCACAACATCTTCAACTCTTCAACCAATGGGCTTAAAAAAACATCAATGTCATTTCCAGGTTGTTTGGGACCCGAGATCATCAAAGATAGCATCAAGTACTTACGTTTCATACACAACCACGGAGGTAAGTTGTAAATAACTAACACCACAGGCCATGAACTATGTTTACTCGCTTAAATTTCCATATGGATTCATTCCATCTCGTAGCAAGTCCAAACCTAATGTTTCTTGGATCATTACCAAAATTCTGGAAGATGGAATCAATTTTTTTCCATTGCATTCCATCTGCAGGATGCCTCAACCGACCATCTTTAATACGACTATCTGCATGCCATCTAGTGAGCTTTGCATCATTTCCATTAGTGAATAATCGTTTCAACCTTGGAACAATGGGAAGATACCATAACACTTTTTCCGGGGTACCCTTCATTACATCATTGTCAAAATCACCATCCTTCTTCTTGTATCGTGATTCCCCGCATTGTGGACATTCGTGACAGTTCTCAAATTCTTTCCTGTACAACACACAATCATTCGGACATGCATGAATTTTGTGGTACTCCATACCCATTGGACACAATATCTTCTTAGCATCATAATTGCGGGTTGGCAATGTGTTACCTTCAGGGAGCATGTCACTCAACAACTCAAGCAATTCTGTGAAACTTTTATCAGTCCACCCATTCTTTGCCTTCACATTGAACAATTTTAGTACCGCCGACAATCGTGTGAACTTAGTACAATTTGTATACAAAGGCTCTTTTGCATCATTGGACAACTTCTCGTACACATGTGTATGTTGGAAGGCATCTTGTCCAAGCTCATGAATCATTTCCTCCAGCTGATCATCCATCTCTAGATCAACTTCTTCTTTGTCTTCTACACTTGGCATGTTTAATAATGCACCATGCCATGTCCACTTTATGTAACTCTTTAGGAAACCATCACAAAGAACATGTTCCCGAATAACTTCAGTCGGTAATCTTCGCTCATTCAAGCAGTTAACACAAGGGCAATAAAATCTTCCATCATTATCCGGAACATTCATCTTAGCAAATTCAAGGAATTGTTCTACTCCACTCTCATATTCATTTGTTGTTCGTCTATAATTGATCCAACTCCGATCCATTGTTACAAATCTAATTTTCAAAATCAAATTAGCTACAGAAACATGAAATAACTACATTATAATGCCTACACGAAATCCAACTCCACTCTCAAAATAACTACATTATAATACAAATCTAATTTTCTAAATCAAAATCACGAAAGAATGCCTACAGAAACACATTCAAATGACTAAACTACTTACAATACATCTCTAAATTAGCTAAAGGCACCCGTGATGTTTCCCTCTCTTGACAGCATTATTACTTACCGGATTCAATACTCGTAAACCTACAATGGCTAAAGCAAGCACGAAAACTTACCTCTTAAAGACCTACAGAGGTGGCAGGTGGCGTGACGTGCAGAGCCGGGTGGGGAGAAACGTATCACAGGCGACGGGCACCAACGACGAGTAGCGACGGGCGACACGACGTACGGGGAAAAAAATATTTTTTATATATAATATTTTTTTTACAAGATTAGATTTCAACTTATATGTGTAATATGTTTTTTTTTTTACTTTTATGTATTGATAATAAAACTTTTAAAGTGTATATTTTGTATAATTTGTATTTATAATTAATTTATTAATTTGAAGGTATGTTAACCATTTTGTAATGACCACATTGAAAGTAAAAGTCATGAATTAAAATGACATAGATCTGGTTGAAAACATTACTTTGTTTTCTTCTTCATCCACCGTTCTAGAATCATTAATTTTGGTAAGAGAACTGGTGTGGATAAACAAGGTCAAGCAAAACAAAGAAGTGAACAACAAAATCAATCTTATTCTTATCTTATTGTTTAGAAAACACAAAATAACACACATGCTTGCTTAAGCTACAAGTGTACAGAGTTATTTAATACCTCTAATTAGGTGTATAACAATTGAAAAAAAAAAAGACACTTTTTAAAATGATTTTGTAGGATCTAGACTATTAGAGAAACAAAATAGAAAGGGACCTGACTTATTTTTTAAAATGTAGAAAAAGAAACGCATAGAAGTAAAAAGAAATTTGATTGACGTGTTCTATCTACATGAAGTTTGAAAGCTGTTAAAAGCTTCCAAATCTAAGTTTGTAATAATTGATAAAATCTTAACACAATTTATCTAAATGTATAAAAATTGAAAACATCTCAAATTAGTTTTTGAAATGTATTTAATATATTTCAAAAACTAAATTTAAGAACTTGGACCGATAATTAAACCATAGGGTTGATGAAATATAGTTTTTTGAAAGAGCTTTAGAGAAAATATATAAAAAAATTATAGATTTGGAGTGCCAAATTAACATCAATTTGTGTGTTTAGGTGGAAATGCAACACTAACGGAGACACCCATAATAAATTATATATTATTAAGTTCTACTAATTTGATTATTTTAATTTATATCATTCATAATTTCCTCTTAAAATAAATTTGAATTCGTTTGAAGGTATAAGCAAAGTTATTATTAGTATTTATAAAAGTAAAAATAGATATGTAATTTGCAGATTAAGACCAAATCCCGTAAATAATTACGAGCTCTTATGCTTATCTCATTTATCTCCTTATTTACTGATGCAAGTTGATTTTGATAATGTTGTCTTAAGGATGAAAAAACTATGTTCAAATAAAAATATTTATATTGCATACATTTAACATTTTTAACAATATTTATTGCTTCCGATTATAAATAATATGTATTAATAACATAGTTAAGAATATATATATATATAACCTCCTTACTACATTATAGAAATCTTAAAATTTAAAAATATTGAAAAAATATCATTAATGTACATTATCTTTATCTTTGGTGAATCTCTTCTCTCAGTGTTGTTTTAGTTATATCCATCTATTAAGTTAATGCTAGACATGAAGACACGTACCACTATATTCTAAAAATGAGCCGACAATGATGATAGGAAGATTACACCTCCTAATTATATTAATATATATGTATATATTATTAGTATATTAAAATACCTTTGCATTTAATGTATTGAAATGTAAAATTATTAAAAACAGAAGTAATAATCTTTTTATTCGTATCCTTGAATAATATACTGACTTATTTATTTCTGGTGAGTACCTCTTTCTCATTTCATTCCCACTTCTTAGTTTTCCTTCTTTTTATTCGTATCTTTGTTTTATCCATCCTTTTCCCTGTACTTACTTAAGACAGTAGCAAAAGTTGGCTCATGTCAACAACCTTCCTAATCATTGGACACACATGGCCACCCACACCTAATTACACCTTCGCACGTGTCTAATGTGATTCCAACTACTATTTTATTATTCTATTTTATTATATTATTGTACACATCTTTGAATACAAACTACACTACAATCACCTCACAATTTTATAATTTATATTAATATTTATGATTTTATTTTTAAAAATTTAATAATTATTTTTAAAATTTGTAATTTATATTAATATTTTAATATTTATAATTTTCTTTTTTATAAATTTAACTTGTGATTTTTTTATATTATTTTATTTTTTAAATTTATTTTATTATTTATTGATAATATATTATTTTATTCTTAAAATCAATATAAAAATTCACCAATCACCTCCTCTATTTCTTTCTATTACCATATTTGACTCTTTTTTTTATATTACTCATAATCAATCAACTTCGTAAATAACACTTCGATTAAAAGTTATTAAAATCTGAATGAAATTAGATAAATCATATGCTATGTAAAATATTATAACTTTTACATCAAGAAAACAGAAAAAGAGAGAATAAGAGGATAAAAAAAAATTGAAAACCCCACGAGAGAATAAAGTGGTAGATTAATGGTATGTATCTTAAAATTTAACTGAGTGAGCTGACTTAATATATAGGATAATACACATACACCTTTATTCATCATATCATACATCTCTTCTCCAAAGTATTAAAAGTAATATTTTTCTGAAAGTGATGAATTACGATTTAAAACTTTGGTGGAGAGAGACGTTCAAATTAAATATCTAACTATGTGCTCAACAAGATTACGACCTATACACACCACAGGGTAGAAAAAAAAAGCATGGATGACTCTTTCAATATAATTTTGTATAGCCATCTGTTCGGTAAAGGAAAGAAAATGGAGGAAGAAAAAAAAAGTCAAAATTCTACTGAAATTAATATTTAAAAATTATATTTAACACCAAAATTGATATTCCTCTCTGGTCATATGAACTCACTTTGACATAAAAAATCAGTTAGAGTTTCTATATAATCTAAAATTTTTAAAATTATATATTTATACTAAAATCGTCTTATCAATCACGATTTCTTATTTTAAGGTCTTGATAATACGACTTATCAATTTCATAAACTTTTAAGATTTAATTATTTTAGTAATTTTTTATTTAAATTACACCATAAAAAAAAAAAAAAAACTCTTTCTTTTGTGCTACACACTCCATTAAAATTTTACCTTGAGGAGGAAGTTGAAAATCCAAAGTCTAAAGGTGAGCATGGATACCCTACCCTAACCTAAAGAGGCCCCACAGCTATAGTGGCAAATGACTCAAAAGCCATGCAACAGGGTTTGGGACCCAACATAAAACCCCCGGAAAACCCGGAAAATTACAGCGCGTGCCCCCATGAGCTGGTCCATAAATAACGTAGCCCTGCACCGCATTTCTTCCCTTTCTCCCTCCTCTCCTCCTCCGCCTCTAGTTTTAAGAAACCCCGTCACTCTGCCGCCACAACCATGCTCACCACCCTCCCTCCCTCCGACTCCCTCCTGGGCAACCCGTTTTCCGCCTTCTCCGGCGGCTTCATTTCCTGGGACGACGACTCCCAGCACCTACTCTCCCCAAAACCAGTGACTTCCAGCTCCGGCTCCGAGAAACCCGACCCAGACCCGGCTGAACCGGACCAAGCGGTGGTCTCGGTGATGGACGAGCGAAAACGACGGCGAATGATATCGAACCGCGAATCTGCCCGCAGGTCTCGCATGCGAAAACAGAGACACCTGGAGAACCTTCGGAACCAGTTGAACAAGTGCAGGGTCGAAAACCGGGAACTGAATAACCGGTTGCAGTTCGCCCTGCACCACTCTAACCGCCTCCGAACCGAAAACGAATGGCTCCGGTCCCAGCGAACCCTCCTCCGCCAAAAAGTCGCCAACTTAACCCAAATTTTGATTTTCCAACAATTCCAACAACCCATCTCCCCTGCATGGACATGCAACACTTCGCTCATCCCTATTAATCAAGTTAATTAAATCATACATAATACGCTGTATGTAATTATTAAAAGTTAGATCAAGATAAGAAGATGCTAAAGCCTGGGATTTTTGGGATTGGGAGTGGGATAACTTATATCTATAGACTCGGTTTTTGAAAATATTACTTCATCGTTTTCAAAACCGTATGCCTTATATATTACCGATCATAATTATTATATTTGTGTAAAATATTAGCTTTTTTTCTTTGTTATTCTTCATCTTGAAGAGTTTTTTAGTTGTTAGCTTCTGTTTCGTTATATACCATCATGATGCACGACTCATAATGGTGCTGCAGAGTCCAAACTCAAAAGTGAAAACTAATGTCACGTATACATATGAGAATTTCAAACTGCCAAACAATTTAATTTAGTATGAGCACGAAGAAAGGACGAAAGAAGAATATAAAACATAATTCCCATGAATGAATACGTCTAATAATAAAAATGTAAAGATTATAATTAAAAAATATACAGTTAAAAGAATTTACACATTATTTGATCATAATTCATAAATCGTTATGAATGATCATTTTATTAAATCATATAAAAATAATTACTAATAATTAACATAGTAAAAAAAGCTTTTACACTCGGTATGAATCTGTTACACTCAAAAAGTGGTTGTGTGCTCTCCAGCTTATAATTGTCTGGGCAATGAGGTCCCTTGTTTCATTTTTTGACCAATGATACATTTTTTTAAGATACAATAAACCTAAAATCATTGCACGCGCGAAAATCAAACGATGAACGTAGAAGTTTATGTAAGGGTTTTGTATAGGGGTTTAGAAAAAGAATTTCAAAAATGTGTTTTGTATGTTATTTATTAAATAAATTTTGCAATAAATAATCCGAAAATATATCGTTAATTAATAATTCTTTTCGCAGACAGTGCTTTTAAACTAAACTATTTGCTGAATAATGCGTCTTCTAACACAGGAATTCAATTCAAACGAAGATCAACATTTGTCTTCCAAGAAAGTATAATATGATGAAAATATGTCTGTAGCAACAACTTAATCCCTCTTTTTCTTTTCATGAGAATCAAGTTGATGGGTTTTGGGGTTAAGAAAGAGCAATTAAGATGAGAGCTTTAGCCTATATAGTAATATATATATAAAGTGATTTATGACTTTGTGCACAAGATTTTGGTGAAGAGAGGGGCCACACCCACAAGCGCATTCGTCACTCCCAATTTGATTATCTTACTGTGTTTATAATTATTGACCTCCATAGTCTTGTCAAAAACAGATATTCACCTCATCCCCACCTTCTTCGCATTTTTTAATCCTTCTACAATATATGTGTTATTCATCTTTATTCATTTCCACAATCACTGTAACTGATGTTATATATGAATCTCTGCATACTGATGCTGTGCACCAAATAAAAAATGGTCCTTGTATATGACTGTAACTGATGTCAGATATGATTGTCCATGCGATTATGTTTATTGATTTGAATCCAAAAATAACTTTATTGATTATTAGTATTTGTAACATCAGCACTACTGTTTTTCTCTTATTATATTCATCTCTTAATTGATAAAAGAAATAATAGAGAAAAATGCTTTTACTCTTACAGTGTATCAATATTCTGTCATGTGTTACCATTTAAATGATCGAGGGTACTGCATTCTTCTTCTCGCTATTTGTCTTCACTTAATAATATTATTCAAAATTATATTATGCACCTAACGAATCTGTGCATCGTTCATGTTTAAAAGATAACCCCAAGAGTTTTCACATAATTGAATCCCCGGTTTTTAAAATCAAAACTTAATTAATGCCAAAACATATACTTCATTCATTCAAAATTAAGCATTGAGCCAGATTCGCGATCGTTTGGGTTAGGTGTAGGTTATATTTTAAACCATATATAATTAATATTTGTATATGAATGATTAAGATTATTATTCTTTTAAATTGTAATCAAAACAAAATATCAGCTTTTTTTAAGGGCTAACTATGTTTTTTATTATTATTATATTTGTTTTAAATTATTTCTATATTTTAAAAAATTGTTAATTTATTTTCAAACTTTAGACAAATATTTAGTTTAGGCATAAAAGAAGAATTAAAATTATATATTAGTGAATTTAGTCATTCTATCAACTTTGCAAGAATAAAAAATATTACTAAATATTAAATTTAAATATAAAAGAATAAATATATTTTTAAAATTTAGGATACTAAATTCATCAATTTAGAAAAAAAATAAGGAGTTTTAAAAAGATATCCATAAGAACATTTTTTTTAATACATCATATGAATTATGTAGTTGTATCGAATTAGAACGTGAAAGGAGTTATTTTCAATCTTGCAATCATATATGCGAATGATTATTAATATTTTACTTTGTTAAATCTAATCTTAGACTAATTTTGTTATATCTCCAATATTTACTATTATCTTGATCGATTTTAATTATTAGAATATTATTAATGAAATTAATATCATAGAGCCTAAATTATTATGATGGATATTTAAGATGCTTGTTGAGTTGAGGGGTCCCAATCCAAAATCCCATCTAACAAATAATAAATTGCTTTTTCACTAGACAATTAAAGAAATCCATGTATCCTTGTTAGATAATGGACAATTTTCTTCACCTTCTCTAATCTCCAATGCTCAAATTCCCCCAAAACAAAAGGATGAATTCGACACTTTTAACAGCTAGGTACATTCTCAATTAATTATTTGTATTAGTTGAAATAAAGTAAAATGAAGAAAACATAATTGTGTGTCTTTTGAGGTTTTTTATCGGTTGATAATGGGAACCATTGTTTTCCAACTTTGTCTTGGTCTGGTCGTGTCTTCACTTAATATTTAACTTCCAATTTTAATTGTTAATTAACGTATAGAACTTTGAACAATCTTCGACGACCAAATCAATAATAGAAGAGGCAGATTGGGTTTCAGAGATTATTAGACAGGGGATTCATTTGAAGTAGAAATTTAACACAAAGATATGAATATTTTCTGGAAGATAAATAATATGTTTTTTTTCATTTTGTCCATCCCAAATTTTCGATGATGACAGGAATAAAGTTTTAGACCAACAAAATGTAAAGATTTCACTAGAAGGTATATAATTAAAGGAATCATATGCAGATCCTTATATGGATATATTATATCTCTTGTACATGATAGAAAAAAAATGTGTGATAGAAACGAGTTTAATAATGATGATGAAGTTTAGGTGGAAAATATTTGATAACACACATTTCAAATATTAGTTGTTATCGAAATAATTGGTGTTGGAGTAAAATATTTGTAAATAAAGACAGTAGTGGCCCATACATAAAAGGCACTACATCATGTGTTGGAGGCTTCCTTTGAAGCCCAATACCGAGCATGTCCCTTTCTGCCAATCGAGTGGGTTTTGAATGTCTCACTACTATGATTTTTTTTATTTAAAATAATCCCAAAGTTGGTACTTCATTTTGTCATTATAGGATTATCACAATGATAGTGTTCATTAATAAACCCCAAAACATCGTTTTCTACATTGTTCGTGGCATGGAGAGTGCTTTATTAGAGGCATGAATTAGTTCGAATGAAATTAAAAAAAAGAAAGAAAGTAATAATCATATCAAATAAGCATGAAGTAGCACAGTATAAATATGAAATCATGCGATAGCGACCCAAAGGGTAAGAACAGAGAGAAGTGGACATATATTGTGGACGTAAGCCAAAGGAAAATAAATTGATGAGAATTATGTTACACGTAAATGAAAAAAATAAAAGTATTTATATGCCAAAATAATAAACAAGTGTTGGTCTTAGTCATTACATCTTACCTCATAATTTTGAGATCCTCTCCCTAATTTGAGGAACTTGTTTTAGTGTTTGTCATGGAGATCTTCTCATGAAACAAAGTATATTCCTTGACTCAAGTATTAGGGTGTATGGAAGAGGATATATGTCAACTCAAAAAGATCTTAGAAAATAAGTGTTTGATCATTCATATTCTCCCATTCTTTATATCTTAGAAACAAATACGTATATATCTCTTGGATGAGAGTGTATCCATGACAATAATTTACTAACTGTTAGGGAATCTACTTCATATGGTTAAATAAAATATATGAATTATTATAAAGTTTATGACTAATAAAAAAAATTAAAAGATATAATAACCGGAATATTTATTAATGATCTAATCCAACTTAAAATTTAACTCAACCCACATCCAATCTTTTACAAATTAATCGACAAGATTTTGTAAGTTTATTTTGATATCTAATTCACACTCTTAAAATTATAATGTTAATATTAATAGTAGTATAAAATTATTATTTAATTTATTCGAAATTAAATTTCCAGACACATGACATTACCCACATTCCCAAGTATAGGAGGAAATTATATGTTTGAAAATCTTCTCTCTAACCAAACAATAAGAAGAAAGAAATAAAATAAATTTCTTTGTAAATTCAAATTAGTTTATACCATTTTTTTCTCTTATAATTTTTTATACAAAAATGATTAATTATAATAATGAGTTACTTTTATGCATAAAATATGAAGAACAAAATTTAATACAAAATCATGTAAACTTTGTTATTATTAAAGGATTAAATATATAATTAAAATTTTTAAAAGACTATATATCAATAAAATATAGACCGCAGAAGTAAATTTAATGCTAACCTTTAATTATATTTTAAGTCTTTAAAATTCAAAGTATAATTTCTTTTTCTTTTTCAAATTGAGAAAATAAAAATAATTTTTAAAATTAAAAAAATGAAGCTTCTAGTTAGATGAAAGGAATGTTTTATATTTGGGTGAAAGTCACCCCTTCTCTTAGCCCTGCAAATTTCTCGTACCTTCCTTACTTTTAGAAATTATCATGGTGAGTGGTGATATTTGTTCAATGATAAACTTGCAAAATATACCAGTAAAGGAAGAATAAACACATACGGAGTAAAATAATTAATTTTAGAGGCTAATTTTATCGATTATTATAATTTAATAGACTAAATTAATTGATGATTAAATTTTATAATCTATTTCATCATTTATTAATTTTTACACTAATTTAACTTCAGATTTGCAAGTGAATATTAAAACGAAAGATTTTAAAAGTTATAGTATTTTTCACTAATATAAAATTGATCTTTTATTATATTTCTTATTTTGATTCTTAGATTTGTTCACATAAATCTGCATCCTTATTACGAATATGAATCCGTATATTTGACCCAATTCTTAAGCACATTTTCTCTTTCAAGAGAAACATAACCTAATACTTAAAAAAAAAAAACAAACACATTTGAAAAACAAGCTTATGAGAATTTTATTCACAATTCGTCTTCTTCAAATTACAATTTGAATTTTTTCTCTTTAAAATTTCAACTAGTTTTCCTCTTTGAATTTTTAACAGAGTTCTCTATTAATTAATTCTCACTTATTTTATTTTACTTACAAATATTTTTATTTACAGTAAGATTTCAATTTATTTTTAAAAGAATGTTTTGATATAGATCACTACAAGAAATATTAAAATTACCGACGGTCAAAATCCGTCGGTAATAACAAAAATCCGTCGGTAAATGAATATTACAGACGGAATTTCGACGGCCAAAAATCCGTCGGAAATTAGCTTGTCGGTAAATATGATACTGAAATTATCGACGGTCAAAATCCGTCGGTAAATATGTTTGAAATTACCAGACGGATTCGAATCCGTCGGTAATAATTTTATTAATTATTAAATATTTTACTTATTTATAACATTATTTTTTTTATAGAACCTCTCCCCTTATATTCTTATTATTTATTATATTTTTATAACTTTGAATTATTGTCGGATTAAGAGAAATGTCATTGGCAGGATTGAACCCAGTACCTTAGAGTCGAGGCTAATACTCCAACCACTAAGTCTACTAGAATTTCTTGATAACAATTTACAAATAAATTATATTTATATACAAATATACAAATACATTTATATATATTTATATATATTTATATATATTTATATACATTTATATATATTTATATATATATTTTTATATATTTATATATATTTATATATATTTATATATATTTATATATATTTATATACATTTATATATATTTATATATATTTATATATATATATTTTTATATATTTATATATATTTATATATTTATATATTTTATATTTATATATTTTATATTTATATATTTTTATATATTTATATATTTTTATATATTTATATATATATATTTATATATATTTATATATATATATATATATTTATATATATTTATATATAATTAAATATTTATTTTTAAAATTACTTAATTTAATAAATTATTATAAATTAATCTAATTATGATTAAATTAAATTATTAAATAAAAAATATTTTATTTTTTAATTAGTGAATAATTAAATTATATTATATAATTTTACCGACGGATTTATCCGATCGGTAAATAATTTTTAATTTATATATGAATTTACCGACGGATATATCCGTCGGTAACATCAAATTTCACAAATATTTTATATCCGATCGGTAATGATTATTTTCAGACGGCTACAATTCCATCGGTAAATATCCGTCGGTAATACGCGATTTTCTTGTAGTGGATAAATAAAATAATGTTACTAAATTTATAAAATAATATGGATAAATAATATTTTAATATACTTTTTAAATTTATTATTTAATTTAATTTAATTAATATTTCAGATTTTTAAATATTTATATTTTTTCTTTAAATTTAGATTAGACTTAAGCATTTAAAATTTCTAAATTTGATGCTAAATTTTGAATCCTTATTCATATATATATATATATATATATATATATATATATATATATTTATATATCACATTTTTATTTTTCTGGCAATATTTTTAAATAATTGTATATAGAAATTCCAAAAATATTGTATATTTTATAATTAATACTTAAATTTATTTATTTACTATTTTATATGGAAGAATGTGTATAGATAAACTTTAAACATATTTATTTAGTAAATAATAAAAAATAAAATAATTTGAAATTTTAAAATATATTAACTACTTAAAAAAAATGTTATTTGAATGAGTACATAAAATAGTTAGAAATTGTTATATTTTAGAATGTTTATAATTTATACTATTTTAATTTAACTTAACTCACAACTTTTTTTAGCGAATTGAAGATTTTCTTTGAAATACTTTTTTATAGTTAAGTTATCAACTCATAATTAAATTAATTAGTATATTTACTAAATTTTTTCATTATTCATTAAATTACTTTAATATATAATGAATTTTTCTAAGGTAGCAATTTTAATATTATAAAAGTAGTATTGAAGAATATAAAATATTATATATTTTGTAGTTAATATTTAAATTTATTTAATTAACAATATATATACATATATATATAACAAAATATTTTTAAATCATATTTAATTAATTGAAATTGTTGAAATATTTTATTTATTAAATTTAAATTTTTAATTATTTAGGATAGTTATTTTATTACTTTTATACCATTAAAATAAATTTAGGCTGAATAAATGTATTTTACATAATATTTTTTATTTTTAACTTTATTATATTTTCTATTGAGTGTGGCCATTTATTGTTTTATATAATTAAGTTATAAGTAATTAAAGTCCTTTCTGCCAAGACTTAAAATAAAATATAATTGTACTAATTATACCAAAATGATTAATAACTATGTGAACCAATATCAACCTTCAATCAAACTTGTAATAATCTACATAATGATTTATCTTAAGAGTTTAAAGTCTATAATCAATAATATGAAACAGACCCCCCACCTACCTACCCAAGAAACGCACCAAAATGGATGCACCATGCCCATGCTTTTTCCCTTCACACATTTTCCTCCTTTATTATTATAATAACCCTTTTTTTTCAATATATAGTCAAAAAACTAATCTTTTATTAGTAGTATAAATAATATAGATTATTATTATGATTAAATTTCAAGTTAACGTTCCGGTACGAGCGATGTCCTAAAATTAAATTAAATTAAATTGAAGACATGATTATCATTAAAGTAGGAGTGGAAAATTTTATCTTCATGCAAACATATATATTCTGCATAAAATCAGATATCTTTCAGATTGAGTAAAAACAGACAACTACAATCAAGTGTAAGTACAAGGAGAATGTTGAGACAAGAGAATATTACAGCCATGTTTCATAGTTGAACCCTCGTTTCTGTTCATCTTCTAATGTTAAAGAACGATCTCTACCAGCAGGAAGACGAGGGAAAGGAGCTAACTTCACATAAATATCATCCTTTACATCAGTGGCATCTGTACACGAGAAAATAGATTTTCTTAACCTAAAGTTAGATCCAACACCCTTTTTGTTCTTCCTTGGCACCGTGCAGTTCTTCTCACTTTTTGTACACTCCTTGTATGCCACAAGAAAAGGGTCTTCCTGCCATCTAAACCCCTTCTCCTTCTCAGAAGTGCTTCTGCGAGGAGGTTGTAGACAAGGAGGAAGAGGAATCTTCTTGTCCTGAATTTCCAGCATTCTCCTTGAGTTGCTCCTCAAATGGTTAGGAGCCAGTGGTGGTAAGGGGGAAGATAGTTTTTGATTCATCCCTATATTTAGAGGGAAATCATTGCTGGGGGTCTTACAAATCCCAGGTTTGTCTTCCCATGAAAAGGGTATGCTTCCATGTGAATGAGACTTCCTATGACTCATCTTACCATGACCAATATGAAAAATGGTTTACACGTTGGAGAAGACCTTAGAGAATGGGATTTTAAAGCAATTGTTGTGTGGTTTGTATTCCTAACGGTTGATGATATCTAGAGGGCTAGTAGATAGAGCGTGAAGAGGAAGCGACTTATTGCTTTTAAAACAATTAAAGGAAGCAGATCATGGAAGCCAAGAAAAAGAAAAACATTGTACGTCATATTAATTTTGGTCTCCAGTTATAATTTTCCATAATCGTGGCAAATTAGGAGTTAAAGAGATATTATGTCAAATTGGTATGTTACTACGTGCAAGTTGCAGCGACAATTCAATTGCTGATTTATGGGTAGGTGGAATGGTTGATGGATTCAATAACTGATATTTGAACTGTAATGTTTTGCAACATCTGCACCTTGTTGTCCTTAGGTACCGTTTAAAGGTCAAACGGTGCCATCCTATTCAATTTGAAGATAAAGGAAAACTTATGGATCCCTTCCACTCTGAGGTCATTTTCTTAGAATTTACCTGTCTTACGTGATAATTTTGAACAACAATATATATTTTACATTATACGTTGTGATTATGCAGCTTTTTCCCTACATGTGGAAAACGAAGTAGTACGTAATACTAACTCATGCAAGGATTAGCAATAACCAATTTCAATGCTAAAGGTAAGGCTGTTGGATATGTTAGTTTCAGTTTTAGCAATGCAATTTCTACTGATATATACATAAAGTTAGGAGTTCAATACATAACATTGCATCACGAGTGTAAAAACTTTATGTTGTTAACTATATATTCCAAAGTTATGATTAGTAAAATGTTTAAAGTGACTATTATATATCTATATAATTGATTATGATTCAATACTAGCTGTTTTAAGACACTGTCGCTATTGATAGGCAACTGCACTATTATGCAACTTTGGAATCAAAATTGTCATCATTATGAACAAAATGGACTATTATTCAATTCCAAAGTTGATTCCCAGGTTATGTTTTCAAAGAGCACATTGTAAAAAGGATTGTTCTGTATTTTCGAAGCATCGTCCAAATTAAAAGTGCGAGTTAGGAATCTTTATTGGTGGGGGAATGAAAATAACCTGTTACCTAATGAAAGTGATAAATAATTGAATGACAGACAATATTTTAGAGTCAAGTGTAAGAAAGGAAGTTAATAGATACGCGGGTCAAAGAACCTGCTATACTCTTTTCAGGAAACAGAAAAGTTTCATTGATTTACACCAAGAAAGAAAAAATAATATAGAAGAAAGTGATGGATCTGTAACTTTAATGTAATAAAAGTAAAACTAAAAAAACGAAAAAAATTAACCTAATATACTAAAACTTTTATTAAGCTAGCTATTTTATTTATACGCCTTGGAAGAAATACTAAGAAAATGTGAATTTTTATGGCTTAAATGAATGGTTTACCTTAATTTTGAAAGCCTTACAATTTCATATAAATGTAAACATTTTACACAAATTTTAACACATTTAAGATTGATAAAATGAATGACCAATTTAACTATATGGATTCTATATTCCTATACCATTAAGTTATATAATATAATAAATGAAATATTTTCTCAATTAATATTACTTACAACATAACAAAATAATTGATAATTCCTTATACATGTTTACCCAAACAATTCGGTCATGTGTTCTAATGATAAATTTTAAGATTAAATATATTTATAGTATTTGTATTTTTTATCAAAAATATGAATTTAACTATTTTTAATTTTGTGAAAGTAAACCGTAATTAAACGTTAATTTTAGATATAAATAAAAACTAAAATTACATGGCTTTTATCCCTTTTAAACTCCACCTTCTTCTCCATCAATGGCTTCCTCACAAATTTGTACAGAATTTATGATCCCATTCAGGTGTAAAAATATTCTGATGTTTAAGTAAGATAAAATATAAATATTATAATAAATATTAATGATAAGGAATAGTACATACCTTCAAATATGTGTTGTTTAAAAGGTTTTAGTGAACCTTTATAAGTAATTTAATTATATTTTATAGTTGGATGATCTTAATATTTTAAATCAAATTAATCTCTTAATTAATTTAATTTATACTCTCTCAATACACTTTTTGAAGACTTTACTTCGAAACAAGTTAAAAATTATTATTATTAAATTTTTATTACATTTTAAATTATCACAACATTCATTTAATAAATGTTATTTTAAGTACATCTATCTTCATAATAAAAAATATAATTTTATTTTGAGAATTGTTATGAATAATATTATTTTATAATTCATTTTTAGTATTAAATACAAATTATCAGAAGCTATAAAGTTATGAGTGAAACTCATGTTATCAGATATTGTGCTATCATTTGGACAAAGATTGTGCTCATATAATAACATTAGGACAACTAAAAGATTATGAGTAAAATTAAAAAAAGAATGAAATACAAAAGATAAATAGAAATAATAGAGAAATATAATAGAACAGGTATTCTGTTAAAATAAATAAGAAAAAGAGTGATAAAAATGGAGAATTTTTCTTATCTGAATGGCAGAAAATATAATAAAAATAATAAATAATTATAAAATTATTTTTATATTAATCCTAAAATGAAATTCAACTTAAAAATATAAGTTTTTTATTATTATTTCATTTAATATAACTTTTGTTTTTCAATTTGTTTATCCTAAAAGCATATTTTCATTTTTTACATAAAAACTAAAATATGAAACACCACTTTCTTTCCCTTTTGATGGCTTGAGGGGAGGATTTTTTTTAGTGGGTGTGTTCAAACTTTATTGTCCTCTTTCTTAAATTTCACTCATCAAATAATAAATATTTAACTTTTTCTTCTATTTCTATTTTTCCTCAATATATCCATTCAAACAAAGTTTCTTTACAGCCTAATTGAGTGTGATGTGATTATGACAATATGAAGCTTGAAAGTTTTTTTTTTTTGGCAGGAAGGCTTTTTTTACAGCCTTCAGTTGTAGATAAGCTTGATTATATTATATTTTTTCCTTTAATTTAATTTATAATCCATTCTTAATTTAAATTTCCTTATGATATTAAATTCTATTTTTACTTATTATTTTATTCTTTTAAATGATTAAAAAATATTATATATATATATATATATATATAATAGTTACTATAAAGAATAATAATTCTACCATATATGATATAGATTTATTTATAGTTAAATAATAATGTAAAAGTTAATAAGTATATTTAAATTAATTTTTATATTTTACCTGTATAATTATTCAACTACATATAATCACATTTTAAAACTAATTTAAGTACACCAAAGTCAGTGTCCTTAACTTAACTCGATAATATCACAAAATTCTAAATGAAATTATTTTTGAAAAATAAAAATCAGGTTTCATTACTTTTTTACTTCATGAAGTTTTAGGATTAATTCGTTTTGATCAACCAAATTTTTAAAAATATTTTAATCGCAGAAACTTGTAAAATAAGATAATTTTATTTTAATCACTAAATTTACGAGTTAAAACAACTTTATGTAAAAATTTAAAACCACAGTTACAAATTTAAGATATATATATATATATATATATATATATATATATATATATATATATATATAATTTTAAGACCAAAGTCAGATATTATTTTAATAATATAAAATAAAAACTCCTTCCATCTAATATGCAAACAATCTGTAAAACAATTTTCCGACAAGTTTTCACAAAAAAAAAATCAGATTTATGATTTAATTGATTAAAAAATTAAATAATAAAATAAATTAATAAATGATTAAAATATCTTCATTATAAATGTTAATATATATGTAAAAATTAAAATTTAATTTTATGAAATAATTATTTAATAAATTGATAAAAGTAAATAAAATTAAAACTAATTTTATATAAAAATAAGAAAAAATAAATATTTAAAATTTATTTTTATAAATAATATTAAATTGTAAAAAATATTTTAAAAAATAATGTAATTTTTAATATATATTTTTAAATAATAATATTTTATTTGAAATAATTTTTTATTATAGTTAGTTAATCAAATTTTTTATGATATAATATATTTTTAGGAAGGATAATTAAAGAGAATATATCTTTATCTTCAAATATTTTCGATGGGGTATGTATGAAATAATATATCTTTATCTTCGAACATTTTTCAATTAACAAACGTGGTAAATTTTATATGATTCGCGTTTCCAATTTTTTGTTACACGTACGTGAAACAAACACAAGCTAATTATATTAAAACCATGATATTATAATTAATTAAGTATTTTAAGATAACCTTATAAACAGATTATCTGAATAATACAAAGTCATAGGTAATAATAATACTAATAATATAATTAACTTAATTATTTTATAAAAATTGTCATAATACTAATTCATTATATAATTAGCTTCATCATTTCATATATCAAGATTTTGTTTGGACAGATAATTTTGAATAATTTAATTTATTACGAAAGTATCACTAAATTTTCTATAGTTGTAAAATGTGACTTATCGTTTTTTTTTTTTTTTATGATGAAATTTAAATTAACGCAAATAATTATATTATAAAAAAAACATATTGCACAATTTATTATGATTTGATAACTTAAAATTAATAAGGTTATACCTTAAAAATATTAAAATATTCCACAATGTATTATAATTTGATAATTTTAAATTAATATTATTTAAAATTATTAAACTAGTTTACATTAAATTTCAATGAAAGCATTATGAATCTTGAAAATAAAAATGATGCTTCTTTATCGGCCTGGAGAAAAGCAAGTCCCTCCCGCCACGGGAATTTCTGTGGCTCTGTGCTTTAGGAGTGAATTTCATATACAGTGACTGACATCATCCATCTTCCTCCACATTTTCCACCACCTCATCATCTACGTTAGGGTACGTATTGAAATTCCACAACTTCGACGACCAAACTATGGCTACTCTGCAATCTCTGCCACCTTCTTTCCGTCCATCAATTCCGCCCCAAAATTCTCACGCTTTTCCGGCAGCCATTCCCTTTAATTATTCCCCCAAACTCATTGGCTCAAAGGGTCACAGTGTCACCTTCAGACACTCTGTCATTTCTACAAGGGTTTCCAATTCTCAGTATAGTCCTCAAATCGCGGAAACTCTCGGTGACGTTAGCATTTTCACCGCTTCCGGCGAGCCAGTAAGGTTCAGTGATCTCTGGGACCAGAACCAGGTCAGCGTACCTTCTATTTATCTGTAAAAGCTTTCATCTTTATTACCGTATCATAACCCCTTTATTACTCCATCCTTGTTTGTTTTGTTCTTTACGTGGGAACTAACTAGTATGATTTGGTTTGCTTGGTTCTTACGTTGTGTGTATGTTCTTTTTCTATTACGAGTTCTGATTTTATGAAGCCAACATTTGAAGTGAACTGATGGATTGCGTTTATGTATGGGTGATTGGTAATGCCCGCCTTACTGTTTATTAGATATTCGGATAGGTATTCATATCACATATTGCGTCTTGCTTACTTTTGTTTCATTAAAAAAATTACACCAATGTCGATTAGAATACTGTGAGAATTCGATATCTTTTGCAATTGATCATGTCTATAAATGATTTGTACTCCATTTTAAAATGTGATCTCTCTTCTGTGCTATAAACTTTTTATGATAATTTTGTATGGTGTATTATAGTTGTGTTGTTTGGTATGATTTTTAAAATTTGTTATGTCAGTATTTGTGACGTATCTTGCATCCCCATGCTTCCTAGGTGATTAGTCTTAATTCTTGCAGGGTGTAGCTGTTGTGGCACTATTGAGGCACTTTGGATGCCCATGCTGGTAACTGATCCTCACTTTTGGTCATCGATCAAGACATATTTGAATGATAGTTCTTCTAATTTATGCCTTGTGGAATCTTGTTATAAGCTGGGAATTGGCTTCAGCCTTGAAAGAATCCAAAGCAAGGTTTGATTCAGCTGGTGTCAAACTAATTGCAGTGGGTATTGGGACTCCCAATAAAGCCCGTATTCTTGCTGATCGAGTAATTTCTGTCTCCTTTGTCATTTCAGTGTTTTTCGTAGCAAAGTGCATGCTTTAGAATGTAACATAAAATAAATTATTCTTTTAGGGACTTAACTATTGGAGTTATTTTTACAATCATTATTCGTTATCTTATCTGTTGTAAAGGGCATCCCTTGTTGGTTTAGGTCTGACATTTTATCTGGAAAGGTTGGTTCTTGTAACCTTTGGAGTCAATGAATGCTAATATTTAGTGAAGGTTTTGGACTAGGGTTGACAATCCGACCTAAACCCAATTGATACTCAAAAATTACTTCCAGTGAATGAGGTTTTGTATATCAAACGGGCCCTGCGTTAGGCATAGTTAAATGTTTTGAGGGTATGGGTTTGGATATTTAAGCAGGCAAACCCCTACCCAGACTCTCATAAATTATATATTTGTTATATTTTATAATTAAGATTTGAAAGATCTTACAATACATCGTAATTGAGTTGGATGTTGTACTTTTGAGTTATTATTTGTCTGTTTCATTGGTTTTAAATGGTTAATTTAATTATTAAAATAATATTGTGTTTCACCAGTGTGTTAAAAAAGGGTACATTTAAAAGAAAGTATATTCCATATAACTAAAATGTAGATAATGAATTTATATGCCTGGGTGTGTATACCATCAACTATGGACACACACTAAAATAGTTACCATATACAGGTATGGACTTGGATATGAGTCTTTTTCTTAAATGCAAACACGCACACTTGTAGATCAATGCCATATCTAAATCCTCTGTATCCATCGTCGTCCCATCAAGTATCATATCATTCTAATGACATTTATTTTCAGTTAATAGTCCCAACTCTCAATTATATTTTAGCTGAGTGGTCTGTGATTCAAGTTCAAATCCATTTTATTGAAGGTTCTAGTATAGCAGTATAATGGTCATTTTTATGTTGATCAAGCATAGAATTTGGATCTCATTATTTTTGAATTTTAGAAGACGTCATGCAATTGTAAGATATTGATATGAACATGTTCTTGATATCATAACTGATATTTTCTTTATCTTTATGTTTGTATTTATAGTTACCATTTCCAATGGATTGCCTTTATGCTGATCCTGATCGCCAGGTAATAATGCTGGGTATATAGTTGAACATTCACCCAGAGAACTTATCTTGTAGTTGATTTTTAACCAATTTCACTTTCTTTCAGGCATATAATGTTTTGAACCTTTACTATGGTTTTGGCCGAACTTTCTTCAATCCAGCCAGTGTAAGCTTAGCCTCTAGATTCTCTGAAGTTAATATTTATATTTGGAAGATTATACTTTGTAACCATAAATTGATGTCATAGACAAAGGTGTTTTCGAGATTTGATGCTCTGCAGAAAGCTGTCAAGAACTATACAATTGAAGCCACTCCAGCTGATAGAAGTGGTGTGTTGCAGCAGGTTGATACATTAAACTGATATAAAAAAGGATGAAAACAATATTACTTGCATATTTCATCCCCTAAAATCTGGATCCATTTTTGTGTGTGCAGGGAGGGATGTTTGTATTCAGAGGAAAGGAGCTACTTTATGCGAGGAAAGACGAAGGGACAGGTGACCATGCCCCCTTAGATGATGTTTTTGATGTCTGCTGCAAAGTCCCTGTTGCCTAAAGATGCACTCTATAAAATTTTAAACTTTTCATAACATCAGGAATGTTCAGTTTAGGAAAGATTTCTCTGAATCGTATAGGTGATGATGTATTGTATGCTAAGGGTATGATTAAAAATATATACGAATATCAAAAGTCAAATATAAAAATAATGTTTTCTAAATAGTTTCACTCTAAACTTAATTTTAGTAACAAAACTTCATTTAGGATTGGTGATTGTAATATATGTAAGTTGTTCATGTTTTAACAATTATAAATGATTATAATGAATTGCAAATCAACACAATTTAATTGTTTAACATTTAGCTCTACTTGACAATATAAAGAAAAATTAAATCCAAGAATTTATTTCGGGATCAACAAAATAATAAATCCAAGAATTAAATAAATTCTTTAGATATGAAATCGAGTTCACTTTAACAATTTGTTTAAAGTTTTAGTCCCTAAATAGATTTAATATTATCATGTAGTCATGAACATTTTTTCAATCTTAAATTGATGAGATTGTCGACTTTCCTCAATTCTAAGGAAAGACTAATGTAATACCAATATTTACTCAGTATTTTATTGACCACACTAGCAATCAATGTAATATCAAGAGAATAGAGATTGAATCTCTGTCCTTGTCCTTTAAGACTGAATCTAATTCACAGTAACAGCACCCATCTTCTTCCACACTTTCCAGCTTTTTTATCTTTGTTAGGCTGCATCTTCATTTCGAATTGAAGAAGAAGAAGAATATGCACTTCTATTTACTAATCCACCTAAACTCTATCTATTAGCGTTCCATCAAGTATCATACTCGTGAAATTTACTTTTAGCTATTAGTCTTGGGTGTATTTTGGCTGAGTGGTTTGTGATTCAAGTTTCAAGTCCATTTGATTGAAGGTTCATCATTTGTGTCCTAAATTAGCGCGATGATAACATAAATTTGAAGAGTTATAATTAAAAGTTACCTATTTGTATTAATAGTGGTATACAGAACTGATATTTTCTTTCCATCTTGACATTTGCATTTACAGTTACCATTTCCAAAGGATTCCCTTTATGCTGATCCTGACCGCAAACATTCACGTACTTGAGTTATCTTCTAATTGAATATCGTCTAATTCCACATTCTTTCAGCCATATAAGGTTTATGGTTTGGGCCGAACTTTCTTCACCCCAGCGCATGTATTAGGCCTCTAAAAATAAATAAATAAAGAGAGATTTACTTCTTCTACAAATAGATATATACTTATTTTTTATTTTTATAATTTAATAGTCTAAAATAATAATTCATCTTAAATTTAAAATTATAACAAAAGTAAACTGTTAAAATGAAAACTTTTGTGATTATACATGCTGATTGATATATTTTTTTTAACCTTGAAATTGATACTACTGACGACTGTGCTTCCGAAGCTACCGAGAACTATACAATTGTAGCCACTCCAAATTGTGATATAAGAGATTTACTGCAGCAGGTTGATACATTAATCTGATAGCAAAAATTATGAAAACAATTGTACCATACCAGCATTCCCAATAGTATTGATCCTTTTTATTTTGACAGAGGAATGTTTGTGTTGAGAGGAAAACAGGTATTAAATGCCTAATGCTGTATTTTGAAGATTTGCGTTAGTAGATTAGATTTCCTTGAATCATATCGGCAACAGCATATTAGAAGTTGTGGATTTGATTAAAAAATCATATACAAATATTATAAAGTCTAATCTGGAGCTATGCTATCTATATAGTTCACTTTGAATTCAATTTTATAGTAACAATACTTGATTGGGAAATTGTGAATGTAATTTATGTGCTTTCCATGCATATCTATGCATGATTTTTTTATTTTATTTTTCTCTCGCTTCATCTTTGAATGCATGTGTGTATACGCATGACACAACCCTCTGGTTGAATCTGGGAAAATTCAAACGCTCCTTTCTTGAGGAATATGTGGGACTTTGTCGTGGTGATTCTGGGCCCTACATCACGTACTTTTCCTCAAGATGGGCTCATTATTTTTGGGCCAAGTTCTGTTCATGTACCCTTGTAATATTTGAGGTTGTAAAATCTATTTAGAGGCCAGACATGATCGATGATCGAGTTCCTGTATCTTCACTTTTAGTTGCTGTTAATTGAGAGAATAGTGAGGAAACGTACGTTTGATTTGACTCTTTTAATTCTTTTGGTACTAGATGGTTGAAGATAGCTCCACTGGTAGCAGTAGCAAATTATTGGGTACTTGCAGTTGTATGTTTGGAAGTTATATATTTAGGAGAAGGAGAATCCTAATCTCTAAATACAGCATCTCAGGATAAATTGAGAGCAGGGTTGCACTAACGCGGTCTAGCCCATCTGGGTTGGGATGGCCATTCTTTTTGAGACATTTTACATTGTTTAGGTCCAATCTACTGATAAGGCAGAAATGTCTACATGTATTGTGGGGTTGTGAGTACAAAGTAATAGTACACAGGAAATAAAAGAATGTATCCACTAAACAGTGCCTTCCTGTTGCAGCTCATATATGATAGGCACCTGTGAGTGAGTCCAATCTAGGGCCAAAGCTTTGCCTTTTTCTGTTTTTAATTTGAAATCCCTTCCCCTGTTATGCACCTGTTTAGCATCTTTAAAACATTATGAATTCAGTTTTATACAATCAGAGAATGCAAGCATAGGTTACAAGTTACTTGGCATCAATTGTAAAAAAGAACATATATTTTACAATATTGTTTATGTATATATAATGGATTTTCATTTTTGGTGTAAGAAAATGTAGTAGGTGTGTGCAGGGCTAGAAATAATGTAGACTATGTAGTGGTCTTGGGTGTGTGAAAACTAGGATAAAAGGGTGATTGATCCGTGGATGGGTTTATACCGTAAGTTATAGATTATGGCGGGTACAAGTTCCTTGGATATTTGAAGTATAATGAGGGTAAAAGGGAAAAGGAAATGTTGAATGTTGCGGTCAGCAAAGTAGTCAGTCATAAAAGAGATTCTCATCCAAGAGTACGACATGCAACATTAATGCCGAGAGAAGAAAGAGAGAGGGAATGGACTGGGCGTAGGGTAAAGTTAAGTATGGAGGAGAGATGCACAGAAAAATGGCATTGGGTTCAATGAAAGAGGGTTACTTAAAAATACATGCCCTCAGAAAGAGAAAGTGCACAAGGACCTTTTCTTCTCATGCATACACTATAGCATTCACAGGGTTCTGTGGTGGCAATCAGATTAGTTGCTATCCAATTTCACTTTTTCTGTTGACTCCTCATGCTCGTTTAGGCAATGTTATTTACTTGTATTTGTTTAGATTCCTTGTTCCCACGGATCTCATGTATCTCCTTCTCACCTCCCCCTTCTTTTTACTTTGCTTAAAATCAACACAACACTTGAAAAGGCTGTGATTCAAAAATGTTAATTCCCCCTCTGTTCACATTATTAATGGCCAGCGTTTCACACTTGTTACCAACCAACACTTGATTCAGGTTAAGGTCCACCAATCAATTTAATAACTTCAACTGCTCTTATATTTTGACAAATAAATAATAACACTAATTTCACCCCATAGAAAAACACATACTATTTTTTACCATTTATTTGGGACACGATTTTTCAAATAATAGGTATAAAACCGTTGTAATAGTAGTAGACATACACACTACTATAAAAAATTGTGTTCCATGTTTCTCCGCAGTATCTCTTATTCATGATTTTTTTTTTTTTAGGGTGTGAGGATCTTTTTGATTTCTGATGTTTTAAACTGTTGCTTCTGCATTATACTGGTTTAATCACCAAATTTTAGACAAGGATTAATGTTTGATGGTTGCCTTGTCACTATTCAATTAGCTGATATCATAAAAATTGTGTACGATTTTCAAGTATCCCTTCTCAGGATTGCTTCTCATATTTGTCTACTTTTCATTACGTGTTTCTTATTAAAATAGGAGGATTGTGACAGTAATAGTATTAATATCAAAAAGGATTTTAGAGCTTTATATTTTGTATCACACCACGAGATAGTATGTCCGCAGATCACTAGTTAGTTTTTAATGCTTATATCTTCATTAATGCTCATTTACACTACAAAAAAAATTACATATTTCTAACGGATGTTTACCGATAGATTTATAATCATCGAAAAATGAGTCATTATCAACGGATATATGTCGGAAAATTAATAATTAATTACTGACGGATATATCTGTCAGTAAATTTGTTGGTAAATTAACAATTATTTATCTATGGATATTTCGTCAAGTAAATTCATTGACAAATTAACAATTAATTATCGACGGATATATCCATCGGTAAATCCGACGGTAAATTAAAAATTAATTACCGACGAATATATTCATCAGTAAATTCGTCGGTAAATTAACAATTATTTACCGATGAATATTTGCATCAGTAAATCCATCAACAAATTAACAATTAATTATCGACGGATATATCCGTCGATAAAATTATATAATAATTAGTTAATATATTCTAATAAATTAATTATTCACCTAATTAAAAAAATAAATATTTTTTATTTAATAATTTAATTTAATCATAATAAAATTAATTTATAATAATTTATTAAATTAAATAATTTTAAAAAATAAATATTTAATTATATATAAATATATCAAAATATATAAATATATAAATATATTTGTATTTATATGGATATACATTTATTTGTATATAAATATAATTTATTTGTAAATTATTATAAAAAAATTCTAGTAGATTAGTAATTGGAGTATCAACTTCCAACTCTAAGGTTAGGTTCAAATCATGACAATGACAATTCTATTAATCTAATAATAATTTAAAGTTATGAAAATATAATGGAAAGAAATAAATAATAAAAAATATAAAAGGGAGTCAGATTTCTAAACAAATAAATTATAGGCTATTCATAATAAAAATATTACAGATAAATTTTGATCGTGGATAATTTCAGTATTTATTGTAGTTGATCATGATGAATTGGAGAGCCCATTTTCAAGAATTGTGACCATGTAAAGA